AAGTGTCATAGGTTTAAAACCAAAGCAAGCCAAAAACACTTAAGCTCAGGTCTGACTTGTCCGAATGTTGTCCATCCTTCTGTTTTAAGCAAATCTCAAATGACCCAAATGTATGTTTGTTAAGATGAAGGGAAAACAAGAGCAAACTATGTGCTGATTACCAATTACCCATCAGGATGCAGTGGGTGCATGGAGGGTGTAAAGAAGGCTGAAGCCATGACCATATTGGATGTGCTGGTTCTGGAATGTCTTGAGGTCTGGGAAAGTGTCTTTTAGCCCAAATAAAAGCTAAGTCAAAGAAAAACATAATAAGGTTTGTGTAAGCTTCTGGCAACAGCTTCAGGGGAGTAGCAGTGAGTCTAATAAACTAGGACTTTCTCAAGGCCTGACTGGATCATTTTGAGGCAACTTGCCCCTGTCCTGCCAAAAATGTTCGGCCCCATGTTGGGGACCAAAGTGTAAATGGAGTTCTTAATTGGTCTAAGTAATAAAATCATGGAGATGGATAAAGAAGAAAATCTGAGAGACGAGAAAGAAGGAGCAAACAACCACCAGACCTCTCTACCATCTCAGCTGATGAGAGAGGGAGTTTATGCTTGTCCCTGCATACATCCTGTTTCTGCCAAGATACCACATGTTTTCTCTGCCTATACAGGCTTCTAGACCCATCATAATTAGCTAATGGCAAGCTTCATTCTCTGAAATCAGACAGTCTTTATTTGTAGACGCAAGACATCACCACAAAGCTATATGCTTCATGTCTGTGCTAATTCTAGTATATCTCTAAACTTAACCTGAAAGTTTATCATTTCCTAGAAAAGGGCAATCTAGATACTGGTAGAACTGTCAGGTCCATGGCAAGACACACTCATGATCATGCTGGTACAGAGGCCTGCTGAAAGAATATTAAGAAGAAACATCAAATGGTTGGACTAATTATTGATATTATAATGGGAATGATTGCATTTAGTGCTAGTTCTGTGACATCAAGAGTGGCTCATCACTAACAAATACTAACTGCTGATATCATTAGACACTGGAATAAGCACTTTTCAGAGATTCAGACACAACAAAATAAAATAGATAGTGTGACAGTTAATGAGTTAGCTGATTTGACACAAAGTGTTATACTGTCAGGAAATTAGTTAAAAATATAGGTAGTATAAACATATTAAAAATGACAATCTTTCCAAAAGCAATATAAATATTCAATGCAATCCCCATCAAAATCCCAGCACAAACTTCACTGACCTTGAAAGGATAATAATCAACTATATAGGGAAAAACAAAAGACCCAGGATAGCCAAAGAAAGCCTGTACAATAAAGGAACTTCAGGAGGCATTACCATCCCCAACTTCAAGCTCTACTATAGAGCTATAGTCCTGGAAATATCTTGGTATTGGCACAAAAGTAGGCAGGTCGACAAATGGAATCAAATCAGAAATCCTGTTATTAACTCCCACATCTACAAACACCTGGTTTTTGACAAAACAGCTAAAAGTATACAATGGAAGGAGAAAAGCATTTTCAACAAATGGTGCTGGCACAACTGGAAGATGGTGTGTAGAAGGCTGCAGATAGACCCATATCTATTGCCATGCACAAAACTCAAGTCCAAATGGATCAAAGACCTCAAAGTAAATCCAGGCACACTCTCCAGGAAACTCTTAGAAGAGAAAGTGGGAGCTACCCTTGAACAAATTGGTACAAGAGACTGCTTCCTGAACATGAATACAGTAGCACAGACTTTGAGATCAACAAATAATAAATGAGACACCCTCAAACTGAGAAGCTTCTATAAGGCAAAGGACACATTTGACAAGACCAAATGGCAACCCACAGACTGGTAAAAGATCCTCATCAACTCTACATCTGACAAAGGGCTGATCTCCAAAATATACAAAGAACTCAAGAAACTAGTCACCAAATGACCATATTCAAAAATGGGGTACAGAACTGAAGAGAGATTTCTAAATAGACAAAATCAAAAAAGCTGAAAGACACTTAAGAGAGTGTTCAACATCCTTAGCTATCAGAGAAATGAAAATCAAAACAACTCTGAGGTACCATCTTACTTCTTCCAGAATGGCTAAAATTAGAAACACCAATGACAACTCATGCTGGAGAGGATGTGGAGGAAGGGGAACACTCCTCCAGTGCTGGTGGGAGTGCAAACGTGTACCTCAGGAAAATGGGACTCAATCTACCCAGCAATCCCATTCTTAGGCTTATATCCAAATGATCCACATCCATGCAAGAAATACATCTGTTCAACTGTGTTCATAGCAGCATTATATGTAGTAGCAAGAATCTGGAAGCAACCTAGATGCCCCTCAACTGAAGAATTAATAAAGAAGATGTGACACATTTGCACAATGGAATATTACTCAGCTGAAGAAAAAAAATGAATCTTTAACTTCTCAGACAAATGGGTGGAACTTGAAGAAACCATCCTGAATAGGTAAGCCAGTCACAAAAGAGGAACATGGTATGTACTCACTCATATGAATTTTAGACACAGAGCAAAGGATCACCCACCTACAATTCACACCATCAGAGAAACTAGGAACAAAGAGGAACCTAGGAGATTCATACAAGGTCCCTCACAGAAGAGGAAAGGAACAAGAACCCCTGAGCATATTGGGAGTTGGGGAGGGCAGTGAGTGGAGAGGGAGATAGAAGGAGAAGGGGACTAGAGGAAAGCATCTGGGATTAGGAAGATTGAGTCAGGGGAGGAATAGATGAGAGAGGAGAGAGAGAGAGAGAGAGAGAGAGAGAGAGAGAGAGAGAGAGAGAGACCATAAAAGAGGGAGCCATTATAGGTTTGAAGAGAAAACTGACTCTAGAGAAATGTCCAGAGACCTACAAGACTGGCCCAAAATAACAATTTGAGCAACATTGGAAAGGCTACCATAAATGCCCTTCCCTTGTAATGAGATCAATAACTAACTTATCCACCATCAGGGAGCCCTCATCTAGTAGCTGCTAGAAACACAAGCAAACACCCACAAGTAAACACTGAGCCGAATTGGAATTCATATGCAGAGAGGGAGGACAAGACCATGCTGTGGAAACACATAGAGACAGCTGACCTGAACAAGGAGGAGCTAACGGGCCCCCAGGCTGATAGCTGGGAATCCATCATGGGAATGACTCAGACCCCCTGAACATGGGTCTCAGCTAGAAGGCCTGAGCCATCTAAGGGACCTCAGACAATGGAACCAGGATGTATTCCTGATGCACAAAAAAACTTTGGGAGCACATCCCCCATAGTGGGATACTCCCTTAACCTAGAGTTAGGAGGGAGGGCCTAGTCCCTACTCCAAATGACTCCCTGTGGAGTGGAGGGGAATGGAATGGAAGGGTGATTAGGGTGCATGGGAGGGAGTGAGAAAGGGAGGGAGAGGAAATAAATAAGCAAATAAATAAATAAATAAAAAGAAATATTCATGAAACAGATAAAATGCAAATGTGATCCCAATGCTACATCCTATAATATTACACCTTTCAATTTCAAGTTCAACAATAGCAAGTATGACTGAGAAGACTTAGATGCATTTGATGAGTCACCCTAATTCTTCTATAATAATTTACAATTTACAGCAAGAAATTGAGAACCTTTTACAAAACAGTTACCTGATAGTAAAGGAATGAGTGTTATGGAAAACTCTTCAGAATCAATAGGCTCATTCAACCATGTGAATCACTTCTGATTACTTGTTTTAGATAGTGTTACTCTCCCACGAGGCATAATAATAAACATATTAGCTTTAAAATGTCATTGCTTATTTACATAAGATTGTAAAAGAATGACAGAAAATGCTGAATTTGATGAGAAGCCTCAAAGTCTTCAGAATATTTAATTCTAACATATTTTAAAAAGACATGTGTGGCAGGATACCCTTTAGAAGTGTACAGCTGATTGGATTCTGAGTGGTAACAACCAGCTTTGATATGCATTTTGTGACTACTAACTTGGTCCCTAGTGCCTTCTGTTTAAAGTACATATATTGTATCTGAGAGACTCCTAAGGACTCAAAGTCTATTCAAAACTTGCTTAGGAAAATCTAGGAAATCACAGTATTCATTAATCAGGAAATTACGTTTGGCATTGTCCCTTTGGGAAGCTTAGATAAGAGAGTTGGTTATGTGGAAATTAACTTGTTAATGTATAAATGGGATAACAGTAAAAAGCCTTTTAATAAGGGGCAGTGAGTCAGTCCATGAGATTTTGTTGACTCCTACAACTGGAAAGGCTAGAAAATCATTCTTACAGTGTATCTGTGTGGGCTTTCCTGTAACCCTCTGGACCCACACCTGTCACAAGGGCCAAATCACATGGTTACTCCCACCTTGATGATGATCCTCAAATCATATGGGCAACAAACCAGGTCATATTTTCCATTAAGTTGAACTCAGCTACAAGGTGATCTACTCACATCCATCATCAGGTCTTCTATGTTGTTGTGTAATCCACTTTGATTAGCAGGTAGACCATCATGAAGGCATAAAAAAAGTGGAAGGCAGATTAAGGAAAATACAGTATATGTGTACACAATGCCCCCCACACACACACATAAGGTCAAATCATGACATTGGCTGCTAATCCATAGGAAGGTCACTCAGTCATTGTGCTGTTCGTTATATGGCTCTCAGAAAGGAGAAGGAGATGGTAATAGGAGAGTAAAAGTTTGTTCAATGAACTGTGCTTGGGTGGGGGATATGTATACTCCTCCCAGGTGCATTTACTCATGTTGCTTTAGAACTGATGCATACAATTCAGGCAGACAAGCCACTGAGCATCATTGCTCCTTAATTGGAACCACTGAAATACTACAGCTCTTCATCTATGTACAGACAGAATGTGGTGTTAGGATATTTGAGATGTTAGAGTACAGAACAGGGGAGTCTTAAAGGATTTGAGTTTCCATCTGCTGGTTATCTCACATAAGCAACAAAAAATGGGGGTTTTGTATGTTTCTACTTACCAGTAGATTCCATGTGTGATGTAATTTCAAGTAAACTTCTTCCAGATATTTTTGATCCACCTGAGGCTTTTAGGTAATTTAATCACCAAGTACTATATAACCTGCCACTTAGATTGTAACCATTACATGATGACCAAAATTTTTGTTAGTAAATATTAAGAAAGAAGGTATGAGAGCCATTACACCATACTATTCATTATATGAGTCCTTTTTATGAATGTTGATAATCCTTCTCTGCAGATACAGGACGAGGAGTTACCAGTATTTTTTGGCCTTCATATTTGCCATTGAGGAAATCAACAGAAACACTCACATTTTACCTAACACATCTCTAGGATTTGATCTCTATAATATCAACAGCAATCAGTGGGACACTCTGGAGGCACCTTTCATTTGCCTCACAGGCATGGGAACAATGATTCCCAATTACACATGTAGAAGGCAGAAGAAGGCTGCTGCTTTACTGACAGGGATATCATGGGCAACATCTGCACATATTGGGAGACTGCTGAATCTCTACAAATATCCACAGGTGAGAGACACGGCTGTGAGGGAACAAGAAACCTGTATTAAACTGCAGATCTTCCATCAAAATGTACAAAAGTTAGGATATGCTATTCATCAATCAAAGAAAATAAATCAGGCATTTGGTTATAAAGCCTCAAATATTTTGCTGGAGATAGTTAAGAGGAAGAGTTTGAAGCCTATATAGGGTGTACAGAAATTGCTGTATCTGGAAAGAAATTGTCTATAAATGATCTCAAAGCAAGATAGGAGATTAAAACACCATGAGCAGAAGTTAGTCTCTACAAATACAAAGTGTTGCCTCAGGTTTAAGATTGTGTCCTATGACAATGTTTTCCCTCTTGTTTCCATTGGAAATTTCTATCAGCTTACATTCGGCCCATTTGACACTCTCCTGAGTGACAGAAGACAGTTCTCTTCTCTCTACCAGACAGCACCCAAGGACACATCTCTGTCACGTGCCATTGTCCTTTTGATGCTTCATTTCAGCTGGACATGGGTGGGGCTGGTTCTTGTAGATGATCATAATGGTGCTGAGATTCTCTCAGACTTGAGAAGAGAGATGGACAGGAATGGACTATGTATAGCTTTTGTAGAAATGATTCCAGACAATGAGAATTCATTTTATCATAATTCTATCATGACTATCAAGAAGATTATAAAATCAACTGCAAATGTGGTTATCATTTATGGTGACATGGAAGATTTAAGTGGTCTAATCATAGCTATGGTGGCCTTTTCAATGATTTGGAAAGTCTGGGTCATGAAGTCACAATGGCCTCTACATAGTCTTAGTAACTGTTTCATGTTGGATTCAATACATGGGAGTCTCGTTTTCACACATCACCATGCTGAGATTTCTGAATACAGGAATTTTCTCCAGGCATACAACCCTTCCAAATACCCAGATGATCACTATCTTGCTCTCATTTGGAATGCACACTTCAATTGCTCTTTTTCAGAACCTGATTGTAAAATTTTGGGCAACTGTCTGCCCAATGCTTCCTTGGAAATGTTGCCTAGATATATTTGGCAAATGGATATGACTGAAGAAAGTTACAATGTATATAATTCTGTGTATGCTGTGGCTCACAGCCTCCATGAGATGACTATAAATCAAGAACAAAATTATCTCTATGGAAAGGAAAAAGCAAATAATTATGTTTGGGAGGTAATTTTTCACTTTGTAGATTTTACCAATAGCACTGTGACATTTTTTAATTTTATACAATCACTCATTATATGATAGCACACTACACAGAATTTGCCAAAAATAATCTGAGAGATTGCTATAATTTATCACCTAGAATTTATTATAGACATCTATGTCAATGTTCCTGATGATTGGATGGCAATGACAGGTTTAAATATGTGTATGTCATTATCTACTCTGTGTTACAATTAACCTGAAGATTTATAGTAATAATAAAATAAATTTGAAAATCCATTCTCAAGTATATTTCAAAACAGAAATTTGGGCACTAGACACTAAATTATCAAATTATACTAGAAACTTAAAGTTCAAATTTTGAAGTTATGTTTATATTACCTAACTGAGCATCTGTCCATTTTTATACAGTTTAGACATAAACACTCTGATATAAAAGTTGAAACACTTAATAGTGAATAGCACTTCAACAGCATGGAAATTTCCCTGAATCAACAATCGCATAATAAATCTGACGTGTTTGTTTGGGGAGGGGGATTAATTCTTTCATCTGAAACTGGCAGCCTAGAAGCATTATGCTCATTTTTGGTCTTTATCCAGTAAAACATTGATAAGTTGATATAGCTTGCACTTTTAATGTCATGTATTTGGGATAATGAGACACATCCCTTTATGAGGTTGTTTTGAACTTCCATGGGAATGAAATCATCATATGATTCTGCATCTCTTTAGCTTCACCTTTTTCTCAGGAACATCCATTTCAAAAATACTGCTGGAAACATTGTGGTTCTAGATTCACAAAGGAAATTGGAAGCAGAATACAATATTCTCAACCTCTGGGATTTTCCATTCGGTCTCAGACAAAAGATTAAAGTTGGAATATTTTCTCCAAAAGCTCCAAAGGGCCAAGGACTTCTCTTGTCTGACCACATGATACAGTGGGCCACAGGATTTACAGAGGTTGGTTGGATTTTATCACATTCTTTGAACTCTATCAATAAACATTTGTTTGAGGATGTAATGGCTATTGGTTCCTTGGGGAGTACAAATCTGTATGCACAAACTTACTCTCATCTGTGGAATTATTTATTCACTATTCTGGATAAAGAGGCTGCTTATTTTTCCTTCATTTTTCTATGGGCACTTATTTCCAGTTATATATAGAGTGTCTATATAATAAGATTTCATCAATATGCAGAAACCACCTGAGGAGATAATTAATTTTACCCCCAGGTTAGAAAATGTCACCAGATAGATATTTTGCTTTTTGGTACCTGGCAGTATTCAAAAGCATGAAGGCCCATGAACAGGAGTGTATATATATATATATATGGGTGTGGATGTGGATGTGGGTGTGGGTGTGGGTGTGGGTGTGTATCATATCAATCCAAGTTCCCTCTCCCTCCCCCCTCACACCCCTCCCATCCCAATCACCCCACTCCAAAGTTAGGGTGATGCCTTCCAGGAAGGATCATCCAAATCTGTCAAGACTAAGGGAGTATCCCTCCATAGGGAATGTGCTCCCAAAGTCCTTTCATGCACCAGGAATACATCCTGGTTCCACTGTTACAGGACCCGTAGACAGCCCAGGCCTTCTAACGAGACCCATGTTCACGGAGCCAGAGTCGTTACAGTGCTGGTTTCCCAGCTATCAGTGTGGGGGTCCATGAGCTCCTGCTTGTTCAGGTCATCTGTCTTGTGGATTTCTGTAGACTGGTCTTGACATCTTTTCTTATCACTCCTCCCTCTCTGTAACTGGATTCCAGGAATTGATTCAGTATTTAGCTGTGGGTGTCTGCTTCTATTTCCATCAGCTACTAGATGAGTGCTCTATAATGGCATATCAGTTAGTTATCAATCTCACTATCAGGGAAGGGCATTTAAGGTAGCCTTTCCACTGTTACTCAGATTGTTAGTTGGGGTCACCCTTGTAGGTCTGTGAACATTTCTCTAGAGTTACTTTTCTCTTCAAACCTACAATGGCTCCCTCTATTATGGTATCTCATATATTTGTTCTCATCTATTTGTCCTCCTACTCAATCTTCTGAGTCCCACATGTTCTGCTCTCCTCCAATTCTCTTTCTCCTAATGCCCTCTCCACTCACTGTACCCCCGCTCCCACTATGCTCAGGAGACCTTGTTCTTTTCCCCTTCTGTGAGGAACCTTGTATGAAACTCTTAGGTTCCTCCATGTATCCTAGTTTCTCAGGCAGGGTGAATTATAGGCTGGCTATTCCTTGCTCTATATCTAAATCCATAGATGAGTGAGTACATACCATGTTCCTCTTTTGTGACTAGGTTACCTCACTCAGGATGGTTTCTTTAAGTTCAATCAATTTGCCTGTGAATTTCAAGATTCCATTGTTTTGTTTTGTTTTGTTTCTTCCCCCCCCCACCCCACTGAGTAGTATTCCATTGTGTAGATGTGCCACATCTTTTTTATCCATTCTTCAGTTGCGGGGCCTGTAGGTTGCCTCAGGTTCTTGCTATTAGAAATAATGCTGCTTTGAACATAGTTGAACAGATGTCTTTGTTGCATGGATGTGGATCATTTGGGTATATGCCTAAGAGGGGGATTGTCGGGTCCTGTGGTAGATTGGTTCCCAATTTCCTGAGGAATGCCATACTGATCTCGAAAATGGCTGTACATGTTTGCACTCCTCCAAAAGTGGAGGAGTGTTCCTCTTTCTCCACATCCTGTCCAGCATAAGTTGTCATTAGTGTTCCTAATTTTAGCCATTCTGGAAGAAGTAAGATAGTATCTCAGAGTTGTTTTGATTTACATTTCCCTGATGGCTAAGGATGTGGAGCAGTTCCTCCATATATATATATATATATATTATATATATATATATATATATATATATATATATATATATATATATCCAAGTCCATTTAAATGAAAACAAACATTTATAGACACTATTTGGGAATTTGGGCGTTGTTCTTTCCAAACCACTTCCTGCTGGTAAGGGGCGCTGTCATGGGGGATTCTAAGAAGATGCAGAAATCCTGGCTGTAGTCTGTAAGGCTGCATGGTCCAGCTGTTTTGAATGTAGAATCACCTGGTACTCTGTTTCAGGCGGTCTGCCTTGATCAAACCACATCCACAGCTTTTCATTTTCTGTGGAAACAAAAATAGAAATCCTTTTCCCCAGTAACTTGTCCTTGAACTTATATTTTGGAGTCAAAGCATTTTTTATTTAATTTATTATTTTACATACCGATCCCAATTCCTTCTCCCTCCCTCCCTCCCTCCTTCCCTCCCTTTCACCCTCTCTGCCCTCTCACCTGCACTCTAAATACCCTCCCCTCCCATCCACCCACCCCAATTCCATATGTAGGGGAATGCCATCCAGTTGGGGTCATGTAGATCTGACAGGTCATGTGAAGTAGGGACTAGGGCTTCTCTCCTTTATCTCCTAGATAAAGACAGTTATCCCTCTATGGGATCTTGCCAAAAGCAATCTACAGATTCAATGCAATCCCCATTAAAATCCCACCACAATTCTTCACTGACCTTGAAAGGATAATAATCAACTTTATATGGAAAAACAAAAGACCCAGGATAGCCAAAACAACCCTACATAATAAAAGAACTTCAGGAAGCATCACCATTCCTGACTTTAACCTCTACTACAGAGCTATAGTTCTGAAAACAGGCTGGTATTGGCACAAAAATAGACAAGTAGACCAATAGAATCAAATTGAAAATCCTGACATTAACCCACACACCTATGAACACCTGATTTTCGACAAAACAGCTAAAATTATACAATGGGGAAAGGACAGCATCCTCAACAAATGGTGCTGGCACAATTGGATGAGGGTGTGTAGAAGACTGCAGATAGACCCATGTCTGTCGCCATGCACAAAACTCAAGTCCAAATGGATCAAAGACCTCAACATAAATAAAGCCACATTGAACCTCTTAGAAGAGAAAGTAGGAGGTACCCTTGAACAAATTGGTATAGGAGACTGCTTCCTGAACATAACTCCAGGGTCACAGACACTGAGAGCAGTTTCTTAATTGTCTTTTGTCCATTTTGGATTCCTCTATTGAGAATTCTCTATTCAGTTCTGTACCCCACATTTTAATAGTATTATTTGGTATTTTGTTGACTAGTTTCTTGAGTTCTTTGTATATTTTGGAGATCAGCCCTCTGTCAGTTGTGGGCTTGGTGAAGATCTTTTCCCAGTTTGCAGGAAGCCGTTTGGCTTTATCGAATGTATTCTTAGCCTTACAGAAGCTTCTCAGTTTCAGGAGGTCCCATTTATTGTTGATCTCAGTATCTATGCTCTTCGAGTTATGTTCAGGAAGTAGTCTCATGTAACTATTTGTTCAAGGGTACCTCCCACTTTCTCGTCTAAGAGGTTCAGTGTGGATGAATTGCTGTTGAGGCCTTTGATCCATTTGGACTTGAGAATTGTGCATGCCAATAGACATGGGTCTATTTACAGTCTTCTAAACACCATCATCCATTTGTGCCAGCACTATTTGTTGAAGATGCTTTCCTCCTTCCAATGTATAATATTAGCTATTTTGTCAAAAAACATGTGTTCGTAGGTGTGTATATTAATATCAAGATGTTTGATTTGATTTGTTTTATTACTTTATAATAGGCCACTCCTGAGTATTTTTACCATTTATTTGATTCTCAGCTTCCTCGCTCTGTGTGCAGTGAGAGCTGTTTTCCAGGATTCAGAAAATCTGCCCAGGAGGGGGAGGCCTGCCTGTTGCTATGATTGCACTCAGTGTCCAGATAATGAGATTTCCAATGAAACAGGTAAATGTCATATTTTACTGGGGACTTTCCTACCATGCCACATTTTTTGGTAATATATCAGTTCATGTAAAGGGACAGTAGAGATAAACCCTGTTCTTCTTGATTTGGAAGTAATAATATTTTTGTTTATTTTATCATCTTTTAAATCGTGCCCTGACCATTGAATCTCATGCTTGATTTATGTTGCTGATACTCTACAGCCATTGTTCCTTTCATAGAACAACTTTACTGTTTACAAAGTAATCTTCTTTATTTCACCATGGGATGTAATACAGAGAGAGAGAGAGAGAGAGAGAGAGAGAGAGAGAGAGAGAGAGAGAGAGAGAGAGAAAGGAAGAGAGAGAGAGTATAATTAACAGGCTTCACTTGTATTTCAAAGCAGATGGTTGGCACATATTTAAGGGTTCAATCCTTATGGCCCTTGGTTGCATATATTCAGTCATGGTTCTGGCTTCATCAGAGGTGTCAGAAAGGTTGTATTTAATGAACTCATGGACATCTGTTAAAGTTATTATTTTATATTTTGTCAATTTTTATCACTGGTTGTGTTGCCTCCCTGTATGTATGTACACTTTACTTATTTGATCAACATAAAAGTTAGAATAAGGCATCAAATGTCCTGGAGGTGGAGTCACAGATAGTATTGACCACCATGTGGGTGCTTACAACACAACCCAGGTCCTCTTAAGGGTAACAGGTTCCCTGAACCACAAATTATTTATCTACCTTCGTCTTTGATGTACAGCACTAATAATGTTCAACATTATTAGTATGTGTGTGTTCCTCCATCTGTATAAAGTACCAGAAACACTAAAGCTTTATTTTCCAAGGAGAGGGATATATAAAGATCTAAAACATGTTTTGACCCATAAAACATCAATTAATATGGTATGTCAAAATACTATTACATTACTCTTCCATGGAAACAAATATTTTTTAAATCAATAGTTTGTATGTATCATGAATTTGAATCTAAATATGTATCTCATCTGAGTTAATTTGATTAACCACCACTAAATAATGTGGGTAAATAGTCATTAACTCATTGTAAACAAATGACTTTATTTTTTAAGAGACAATGGAAGCATTATTACATATAAAAGAGGCAAATTATGGAACAATTTTTTTGTGATAGCTAAGTGAAAATGCTATATCACCACTTGCATTAATAATAATATTGTGAAAAGGCCAGGAACACATACAATTCTGTTAATAGAACAAGGCAGAACACTGCATTTGAAGGATCAACTTTTCAGGCAAAGATGGACATAGTACAGGTACCTTAAATAGTTGGTCGCTATTTACTCTTCATCTCTTGGGTGCCCACTACTCAGCTCCCAGATACCGACATGGAACTTTATACTTACTTAATATAGTCTGACCTTAGCTTGACTTATTTCTACACAGCGCTTCTTAAATTATCATGTCTACCTTATGCCTCGGGGCAATGGTATTTCTCAGTTCTATATTCTTTGATAAATTCTTTACAATGACTTGTTGTGTAATTTGGTGGCTGGCCTCTGATGTCCTCCTCTCCTCTTTCTTTTGCTCCTTGATTCTTCTCTCCAAGAGTTCTCCTCCTACTTATTCTTTCTACTTGCCAGCCCTTTTTGTCTGTTGGCCATTCTGCTCTTGATTAGACCAATCAGATATTTTAGACAGGAAAAGTAATACAGCTTCACGGAATTAAATAAATGCAACATCAATGAATGAAACATACTTGTATCACAAAAGAAATGTTCTACAGAATAAACAAATGTAACATATCTTCATCTAATATTTCACAATGATATTATGCCTAAATATATCAAAGGAAGAGAAAATTGGCATGAGACAGTGGAAAAAGCGAATGGAATAAGCACACTTAGAAACAATGTTAACTATGTAAAGAAAAATCAAAATGAAATCCTCGATATTAATATTAATTTCCAATGAGACTTTTCATATATTAACTGGATTGTTTTGAATACCACACTGGCTGTACTGAACACTCAGATATGGTATCAAGAGCTCATAAGCAGAGAAAGTTTCAAATATTTGGGGACTTTTATTTGCCTAATATAAAATGTACATATTGAGATCTATTATACATGTCACCAAGATTTCATATGCATATAGAGACTTTGTGTACATTAGAGCCAAGGTAAGTTCATGAACACATTAAGTGTATTCATTAGAGAAAACTAGAATCATCAGTATCAAAACCTGAATGGTTGCAGTAAAATGAGACACTTCAAATTGTATTTAGTAAGAAAGAAGAAAGTAAAACATAAATGCTAAATATTTTAAAACAGTGAGTCCCATATTTTAAAACATATCAAATGAAGTGTAACTAACTTCATAGCACTTCCAAATTATAAAAACAAATCGCTCATGTCTTATACTCCATGCAATTTTCATAAAGAAGATACAGGATTTTGATTCTGAACCATTTCATGCTCAGTTTTAATCACCAGAAGTAAACACACAGAAAATAGAGGAGACAAAGTGCCTTGAGAGTGAGAAGGTAGCACAAAGACAGAAATATAAGAAATAACAAATAAAATGCTGACAATGGAATAAAAGACAAGGTAGTAGCAAAATGATGAATTCAATATCTTAATGCAAATTTTCAACAATCCATCAAATCGAAAAATTTACTTTACAAAAACAGACTGTTTTAATTGAAAGAAAATGAGATATAAATAGAATGTTATTTATATCTTTCTGAATTCAAGATGAAACTCAAAAATGTAAAGGGATATAGTATCATACAAATACTCCCTGACCAATATGACTAAAACAAGAGTTCTATTTCTATGTGTTAAATTGATCATTTCTTCCTAGAAATGACTAATAAGTTTCAAAAAGGGAGTTTTTCAAGCTTTCACAAATCTGATAGTTCATGTTCCTCTAAGCACCATCAGAGAATGAACATACAGGAGAATTCAATCAATTAGCATTATGGGAATAGATAGTCTTGAGTGTGATAACTGAGAACATTACAAGAAAAATACCTTCAAATCACATTCTCCTTGCACTGAAATCACAGGACAAAGACACACAAGGGAATTAAAAATGAGGTGATCCTATGATCAAGTTATGGTTATATAATTTAATTCAGAAATTTATGACTAAATAAACAAATGCAAGTTATTCTTAATTGAAAATGTACTTAAGTACACTAATAAAAAGAATAGAAAGGTACACTGCATGTTCAATAAGAAGATCCTGGATCATGAATTAGAAGGCATATGGAAATTTTCACTACTAAGCACTGATGTACATGAGTCTGAAACAACAAAGAAAATGTGGGCAAATACAAGAGAGTTGGTGCTGGGAAGTGGCTTGCAACCAAAGGGTAATCTGAGCAGAGACTCACAATATCTTTAATTCATAGATACGGAACATTGTATGAGGTGTCCAGAAAGTCACTATGCAAACACAGAGCAGAACCACTGCCTCCAGAAAACAGTTACCTTTCTGGCCTATGAAGACACTTTGGGACTGACACTGGCCTCCTTGGCCCTGGGCTTCTCTACCATAAGTGTTGGTGTTCTTTGTGTCTTTGTTAAACACCACCACACTCCCATCGTCAAGGCCAACAATTGGTCTCTCACTTACATCCTGCTCATCACTCTGACCTTCTGTTTTCTCTGTCCCTTGCTCTTCATTGGCCATCCCAACACAGTCACCTGTGTCCTGCAGCAGAGCACTTTTGCAGTTCTGTTCACAGTGGCTCTCTCCACAGTCTTGGCCAAAACCATTACTGTGGTTCTGGCTTTTAAGGCCACAGTTCCAGGGAGACTGATAAGGTGGATAATGATATCAAGGGCTCCTAACTACATCATTCCAGTCTGCACTCTTATCCAACTTGTTCTCTGTGGAATTTGGCTGAGCATCTCTCCTCCCTTTGTTGACTCAGATGCTCACACTGAACATGGCCACATAATTGCTTCATGCAACAAGGGCTCCACTATTGCCTTCCACTCTGTCCTGGGATACCTCTGCTCCCTGGCACTTGGGAGCTACACTATGGCTTACCTGTCCAGGAACCTGCCTGACACATTCAATGAAGCCAAGTTCATTTCTTTCAGCATGTTGGTTTTCTTCAGTGTGTGGGTCACCTTCCTTCCTGTCTACCACAGCACTAAGGGGAAAGTCACAGTTGCCATGGAAGGCTTTTCCATCCTGTCATCCAGTGCAGGCCTCCTAGGCTGCATCTTTGTTCCCAAGTGCTACATTATTTTGTTCAGACCACATAGGAATGTGCTAAATTATGTCAGGAACAAAGCACCTGCTAGAGGAAAAGTAGATTATACAGTTTAGTGCATGCTTTTCTGAATTATATAGACACCTACAGGCCTCTTTGGGACCTGTACAATTCACAGAGAAAATATAGCCATTATAATTCTTGTTTTCATTTAGTAATGAATACATGCTTGGATTGCTTACTTCTCTCAAATGGAAAGCTGACTTCCATGAATATGCATGGTATTCTGAAAAATATTAAAGAAAATATGAAGGAAATATGTATTCCTTCATCTCTTCAACATGGCATAACTTTGTATTTATAAAACCAAACGAACTCATATTTTCCATGGGCGTTTAATGCCATTGATATTTCCTGAATTCTTCATGCTTATATTTCCTGTAGTATTAAATGTAAGACAGTACATTGTTATAATTAATATGAATTTGACATGAAAATTACTTGTCAAATGATTATATAATGAGCTGCATATAGAGTAAAATGAAGACCAATTTATATCTTAATAATAACACAAAGGCTGATAACAGTAATCAAATACTTACCCTAAAAGACAATTACATGAAACTTCCTTTAAGTCTGTGAAGAATTTGAAATGCCCTGCTTAACCAGTACTGTAGGACTTGCGCTCATATCTATCTTTACTATAGATATCTAAACATTTTGTTCACTTACTCATTCACAATTTAATTTTAATAAATTCCTCTACATTCTTTCAACAGGAATTGGTGTATTTTATAACTCTTGGGCATTTATTAGTACCCATTCCTCCATATTTTATCAACATTTCATAAAAGATATGTAATACTTTAGGAACAACAATTCTCTCTTTTTTATTTATTTTATATAACCAAGTTCATTTAAATGATTTATATGTATGTATATGTATATAGTTACATTGTTTAAGTATTTGTTCCTGCTTTATTCAGGGAAGTTTTAATCAGTTTTTTTAGCTAAGTTCCTGAGTATTACAGATTTTCTTCACTCATGTTTCCTGTACCTATGAGATTAGTCAAATATAGATGCTTACTCTTCAATCACTTCATAGACATACAGAACATAACATTTAAATGTTTTAATATTAGTACTCCATTGACATGAGACACTGTTGCTCCTGACAGCACCGTTCACTTTTCCAAAAATACGTTGGACACTGTTGTTGCTCCTGCTGGAGTTCATTCTCGCCTCAGCTAATGGCCTGTTGGGCAAAGAACTGCCCCCACCTTGACCACTGATGTGGACATGCAGTCCTATGTGCTTGCAGGAGACAAATATAGAAGACTGCAGGACCTTGCCAAGTCAGGGTAAGACAGCCATTCTACCTCCCTGCTGTTGTTGTGGTCTGTCAAGTTCTCTTGGCCTTAGCCAAAACTGGGTGTACCAACGTTGCTGTGAGAACTAGGGTGACTGACTAGGTAGCTTGCTGTTTCTGTCCTTGCTGCACCTTTTGGAAGTTGCCCATCCACACTTCCTGTGTACCCTAGTATCATTATTAAACTATCACAACTATTATTCTCTCTTCCTAGTTAGATATATTAGGTACTAGACTTATGTTCTCCAGCTTAGGACAACTCTATTGTAAACTCCGTTAAGCCTTCACCCTAGGACTAGATATGTAGGTCATTTTGTTCTCGATTTTCCTTTTCTTAGAGCACACTTGTTATTCACTGTTTTGTATATAGTTTTGTATTAAGCCTAAATCTTTTCTTTAGACTAAAAGGGGAATTGTAGTGAGATAGTCATTCTGTGGCACTGACCAAGCCCATTGGGGGGTGGAGCCATGGGCAGATACAACCTGTGGAAGGAGGTCTGAGGAAGAGCTGGGAAAACTCTCTTGCTGGCGAGATTCTGACAGGAGAGCATCGGGTGAAATTTCCTGATGTTCATCTGTCTAGGTTATAAGTTATTTCTCCCTAAATAAACATCTATTCGGCCTATTTGTTTATCCTGATCCTTATTTAACCATGATACAGTCTTCTAAACCAATTTGTTCAAGAGTACCTACTACTTTCTCTTCTAAGAGGTTCAATGTTGCTGGATTGATGTTGAGGTCTTTAATCCATTTGGACTTGAGTCTTATGCATGGTGATAGACATGGGTCTATCTGCAGTCTTCTACACACCCTCATCCAATTGTGCCAGCACCATTTGTTGAGGATGCTGTCCTTGCCCCATTGTATAATTTTAGCTGTTTTGTCAAAAATCGGGTGTTCATAAGTGTGTGGGTTAATATCAGGATTTTTAAATCGATTCCATTGGTCTACCTATTTTGATACCAATACTAGGCTGTTTTCAGAACTATATCTCTGTAGTAGAGGTTAAAGTCAGGAATGGTGATGCTCCTGAAGTTCTTTTATTGTATAGGGTTGTTTTGGCTATCCTGGATCTTTTGTTTTTCCATATAAAGTTGATTATTATCCTTTCAAGGTCAGTGAAGAATTGTGGTGGGATTTTAATGGGGATTGCAGTAAATCTGTAGATTGCTTTTGGCAAGATTGCCATTTTTACTATGTTTATCCTACCTATCCAAGAGCATGGGAGATCTTTCATTTTCTGGTATCTTCTTTAATTTCTTTCTTTAGAGCCACAAAGTTCTTATTATATAGGTCTTTTACTTATTTGGTAAGTGTTACACCAAGATACTTCATGTTGCTTGTGGCTATTGTAAAGGGTGATGTTTCTCTGATTTCTTTCTCTGTCTCTTTGTCGTCTGAAAAAAGTAGGGCTACTGATTTTTTTGAGTTTATCTTGTATCCTGCTAGTTTGCTGAAGGTGTTTATCAGCTGTAGGAGTTCTCTGGTAGAGTTTATTAGGTCGCTTATGTAAACTATCATATCATCTGCAAATAGAGACAGTTTGACTTCTTCCTTTCCAATTTGGATCCCTGATCTCCTTTTGTTGTCTTATAGCTTTAACTAGAACTTCCAGTATGATATTGAAGAGATATGGAGAGAGAGGGCAGCCTTGTCTTGTTCCTGACTTTAGAGGAATTGGCTTAAGTTTCTCTCCATTCAGTTTGATGTTGGCAATTGGTTTGCTGTATATTGCTCTTATTATGTTTAGGTATGTTCCTGTTATCCCTGACCTCTCCAAGACCTTTATCATGACATGGTGTTGAATTTTGTCGAAGGGTTTTTCAGCATCTAGGGAGATAATCATATGGTTTTTCTGTTTCTGTTTGTTTATATGGTGGATCATGTTGATAGATTTTCATATGTTAAACCATCCCTGCATTCCAGGGATGAAGCCTCCTTGGTCATGGTGGATGATTTCTCTGATGTATTGTTGAATTTGGTTTGCCAAATTCTGTAGTTTTCTTTCTTAGTTGTGTCTTTGTGAGGCTTGGGTGCCAAGGTTATTGTGGCCTCATAAAAAGAGTTTGGCAATGAACCTTCTGTTTCTATTTTGTGGAACAGTTTGAGGAGTAGTGGTATTAGTTCTTCCTTGAATGTCTGGTAGAATTCTGCACTGAATCCATCTGGCCTTGGACTTTTTTTGGTTGGAAGGCTTTCGATGACTGCTTCTATTTCATTGCGGGTTATAGGTCTCTTTAAGTTGTTTGTCTGTTCTTGATTTAATTTTGGTAAGTGATAGTTATCTAGAAATTTGTTCATTTCCTTTGAATTTTCAATTTTTGTGGAATACAGATATTCAAAGGATGACCTTAAAATTGTCTGGATTTCCTCTGTGTCCGTAGTTATGTTCCCTCTTTTCGTTTCTGATTTTTGTTAATTTGCATGTTCTCTCTCTGCTTTTTTGTTAATTTGGATAAAGGTTTGTCTATCTTGTTGATTTTCTCAAAAAACCAATTCTTCGTTGCATTGATTTTTTTGTATTGTTTTCCTGGTTTCTATTTTGTTGATTTCAGCCCTCAAGTTGATTATTTCCTGGTGTCTACTCCTACAGGGTGAGTTCTCTTCTCTCTGTTCTAAGGCTTTCAGTTGTGCTGTTAATTCTCTTATGTGACTATCCTCTGTTTTCTTCATATGGGCACTTAGTGCAATGAACTTCCCTCGTAGCACTGCTTTCAAGGTGTCCCATAAGTTCAGGTATGTTGTGTCCTCATTCTCATTGAATATTAGAAAGTCCTTAATTTCTTTCTTTATTTCTTCTTTGACCCAGGTGTGGTGCAATTGCACATTGTTCAGTTTCCATGAGTTTGCAGGTTTTCTTCTATTTGTGTTGTTGAATTCCAATTTTAAAGCATAGTGGTCTGATAAGTTACAGAGGACTATTCCTATTCTCTTGTATCTGTTGAGGTTTGTTATGCCACCTTGTATGTGGTCGATTTTAGAGAAGGTTCCATATGGAGCAGAGAAGAAGGTATTTTCTTTTGTCTTGGGATGGAATGTACTATAGATGTCTGTTAACCTCAGTTGAGACATAACTTCTGTTAGTTCTTTTGTTTCTTTGTTGAGTTTCTGATTTGTGGTCCTGTCTAGTGTTGAGAGTCGTGTATTGAAGTCTCCCACTATAAGTGAGTGAGGTTTTATATGAGCTTTGAGTTTTAGTAGTGTTTGTTTTATGAATGTGGGTGCCTTTGTATTAGGGGCATAGATGTTCAGAACTGAGACTTTGTGTTGATGGATTTCTCCTGCGATGAATATGAAATGACCATCTTCATCTCTTTTGATTAATTTTGGTTTGAAGTCTAACTTGTTAGATATTAGGATAGACACGCCTGCTTGCTTCTTATTTCCATTTGATTGAAAATCTTTTCCCAACCCTTTACCCTGAGGTAATGTCTATCTTTGAAGCTTAGATGTGTTTCTTGCATGCAACAGAAGGATGGATTCTATCTTCGTATCCATTCTGTTAGCCTGTGTCTTTTCACAGGTGAGTTAAGACCATTAATGTTGAGGGTGAGTAAGGACCATTGATTGTTGGTGCTTGTTTGTTTTAGGTTTGTTGTTGGCAGTGGTATTGTGAATATATTTGTTCTGCTTTACCCTTGGTTTCTGGTGTAGTTGGATTATCTGTTGCCAACATTTTTATGGGCAAAGTTACCTTCCTTGGGTTGGAGTTTTCCTTCCAATACTTACTATAGGGCTGTATTTGTA